TAGGGAAGACCAAACTGCTTGAAGCTACTTCAATCTCAGTTTGGGGGAAATTAGGATGAAAATATTAAGCACGTCTGCTTTTTTTCAGAGCAAAACTAAAGTCTACTCTAGGGACCAATTCGAATGGAATCTATGGGACCTTTTTCTATGTGAGGTACACACAAAAAAGATGGTGTCAAATCTCATATCATCAAGGTTTGCCATAAGACAAAAAAATATCTGTGGGAACTAATTATTAATCACATCATATCGTTTGCAAAATAAAACAAACTGCAGAGTTTAACGTAATATTATTGACAAAGATATCCATCAAATATTAACAATTTCTTACAAACATCATCAAGCCCTCATTTAAACAATCTCCACTAAAGCTGGAACAACCAGACTAATTGAAAATGGGGGGAGGGTATACGATAATTTTTGGTCCCAGCCATCATTTTATTACTATCCTAAGCTTCCTTTTAGGCAACAGTGACAGTCAACCTCCACAATCTTTATAGAAGGAAAAACAGAAAACAGACAGAAATCAAAACCTTTTTCTCCCCAAACCCATCTTGCCATTTTCTCAGGCAACAAATCAACCACATGATTTTCCCTTCTTCAACACTTGCAGAAAGGGAACCCAACACTCCATCTTGACTACTATCGCTCCGTGCAAAGCAACTTCATTCGGTTTAGACTGAAGATCAGAGATTCAAAAAACGCCTGTGTTTTCATTTAAATTCGCAATAAAAGATTCCAGGGCAAACCTGTTCAATTTTAGCTTGCTATTCTTTCAGCCATTTCCCAAAGCCTGAAATTGCCCTACTCAAAAGCTGATCTAAGAAAAAGAGCATCCGTAGGGAGTGGATGAAAAAAACCAAGACGATGGGTACCATTGAAGTCCTGTCCTTTCTTTTGCATTTGTAACAAACACAGTAAAAGGGGGCAGGGTTTTGATTGCACTGTTGTGGAGGATATCCCTTTCAGAATGTATGTACTAATCAATCCTGAGCCCATATACAGAGTGCCAATAGCTAAGTGGGCAGAACAAGCGGGACCACTCTAACATCTGATCAATGCAAGAGACAGCAAAGTGAAGGCTTGTGGTGACCACAACACATGTGATGACCTGAGATAAGGCACGAAGGCCACACAGCCAGTTGAGAATTCAACCCCCCCTTTTTTTGGTAAATTTTATTTGCATTTTCACAAAGAGAAAAAAATACAAATAAAACATCTTTTTTGAAAGCAGCGTAATCCCGGGTTACATTTCTTCGTACAGATGCAAATTCAGGTTCATGCTCATTTTTATATTCTATTCCATATCTTATTACTATTTTACATTTTCTGCATAGCTTCTCCCCTCTTTTAATTTTCTCAATTTTATTTTAATTATCTCATCTCAATTCAAATCATTGTATTTATATTTTTTGTCTGTCCTGTTTCAATTATCTATTATCTTTTCTCATTAAACAAAATTTCTCCTGTAGTTACTGATTGGAGTATGACGCCTTTATATCTTTTCCCTAAAATTGTAACATTCAATATAATACATAACTTCCATTCGGATTCTGCTTGGTACATTCTTAAAATACACACTGTATTCTTAAAAAAAGAAAAAAATTTATAAATGTATATAATTAAAACAACATTCCATTCCAATTCAATTCTATCATTAATATTAATATTCATTAAAGTCTTAACATCTTTAACATTACTTTTCAATTAAATATCATACTTCTATGGGAACAATTATAAGCTTTCCATAGTTAATTCCCCCCCCTTCACTTATATTTTATAAAACATTAACTAATTAAAATGTTCCCGTTCCTTCCTAATTCAATTTTCTCATTTATTTTATTTCACTTATTTTATTCACAAACATTTCACTAAATTACACTAACTATTTTATCCCTCATTTTAATCATACGTTGTTTCCAATTTTCTAAAGTTATTTCTATTACTAATATAACAATACAATCTTATGTACCTTTACAGAATCCCTTTTTCAGTTAGATTTTCACCCATTATCTCTAAATAGGTCCTGTTTCTCTATATCTTGCTCCAGTCCTTTGTAACTTCTTTTCCTTTCCTTCTTCCCTTTCTTCTTCTCTCTCCCCTTTTTACCCCCTTGTCTCTCTACTTTTATTTCTCTCTTCTGTATTCCCCTTTTCTGTTGCTTTCCAGTATTATACTTATTTTTTGAATTATTTTTCTTTTCTTTGGTTGGTTTTTTAAGTCTTAAATTCTCCATTCTCTTTCCCCCCTTTCCTTTTTCTTCCCCACATAAAATTGCTTGTTCATTAAAGATGGCTTCTTCTTTGTCCCAGTCTTCTTGTTTTGCAGTCGTTTCTTGTTGTTTCTCGTAGTTACAGATCTCCATTTCTAAGAATTGAAAAATGAAGCCAAAAGAACCCTTCCCTTCTTGTGCATCTTCTTTGTACTTTTTAAGTTCCATTTTCAATTCATCCAGAAGTGGTGCCATTGTATAAATTTTTAAACAACCACCCGATTAATTTTAGTCATTCAAATATAATAACCAAGAATCCAAAGATCACCAAATAATCCAAATACACGCAAGCTGTTTCTTTTTTGCTCTTTTTTTCACTTTCTCTTCCTGGGGTTACTATTTAGTTGCAAAGTTTTAGTTAAAATGTATCTTTTAGAAGTCTTGTTGAAGTTTTACTGTAGATTCTTTTTAATCCCAGGCAGTCTCCTCCTTCTTCCAGATCCTGCCCTTATTCTTTTTCTCTCCCTTCCTGCTTATGAAAAAGAAAATTTTTAATGTCCAGAAATCTTTACTGTCCCTTTGGCATTTTGTTTTATTTTCAGCTTAATTGCCTATTGATGTCAAAGCGGATTTTTCCGATTTCTTATTTAAGTCTCTTAGTTGTCAGTATAGGGAAGGAGAGAGAAGGAAAAAAAAGCCAAACCTTTCCCTTTTCCCTTTCCTTTGCTGCTTCCGACTTTTCTTTGGGAGCGATGTTATTTTTTGTAAGTTTAAATTCCAGGGTACCTTAGTTGTTGCTTTTACAATTTAACCTGGTCAGCCAAAACTTTCACTTCTTATCTTCCTCCTGCACATTCTTTTCCGGTCAAGTTCTTTTTTGTGGTGGCCATTTCTGATCACCGCTGCAACCGCCTTCGGGAAAGGGAGTAATGGCCTGCTGAGGAGGAGAGATGCGGCTCTCCTCAACCCTGCTGGTGGTCTTTCCCCTCTTCACCACCTCTACGGGGTGGCTTAGCCCCGAAACCAGCCAGCTCGGGGCGCTCCAGCGGCGAGCCCAGACAGAAACCGCGCACAATCGTGGATTTCTGTCTGTCACCGAAGCCCTTCAAACCGGAAGTCCAACCCCCCTTTTTAATGCTCCAAATTTCCCCTCAAATGCTCCTACGTTCTTGGCAAGTCTCAGAGCAAAGTGCACACACACATGGCAGCCTCTGGCTGCACGCAGTCCAGCAAAACAAAGGAACGGGGAAATGAGTCCATGAAACAAGGAACAAACATTGAGTCCACAAAAGTAAGGAACAAGGCACTGAGTCCATGAGATAAAGAAGAAGTAAGGAAGAAGCAACCAGTCCTGCAAACTCCAAATGTCTGTAACAGCACACCAAATTCTACCAATTCAGCATTTGTTCCTGACAGTCCCCAGGTGTGCCTTATGAAGAGGGGCAGGGCACTCTCTTCCCGAGTCATTGGGTCAGCCTGCGCTGTTCCCGCCTTCTCTCCACTCTCCGTGCTCAGGGAATTCCTATTCCCTGAGCATAGGAGGGGGCGGTCCTTGCTCATTGCCTGAGCTCCATTACTCCTCATGTCCACTGCTTGCCCTCTCTCGGTCATCTTGCCCCCATTCCTCCCTGCTAACAAGCCGTCCCAATCCTGAGGAGCCCTCCCCACATTCCTCCAAAGCCAATGAAGCCGGCCCCTCCATTGGCTCCAGCTCTCCACAGATTTAGCCTCTGATGGGGGCATGACAACACAGAAGAAAGGTGCTTTTTCAAGAGACAACTGGACTTTCTTGTTATTCTTTGAAGACATTTCACTTCTCATCCAAGAAGCTTTTTCAGTGCTAGAGTAGAAGAAGCCTCTTGGATAAGAAGCAAAAGGTCTTCAAAGAATAACAAGAAAGTCCAGTTGTCTCTTGAAAAAAAACACTTTTGGGACAACCATGACTTGGATGACTGAGAAGCTCCATAAACAGAGAAGAAACTTAAAAGTCTACTAGTCAACCCTTCTTCAGCTTCTCTGCATATGGAATTGAAATTGCAATATGCATAGCGTCTATGACAACCACAGAAGCATAGAAATCTGCAAGGCCACCCTTTGGTTAGCAAACTGCTTTGATGTGATGGTTCAATTACACCACCGAATCAAGTCACCCTTTTGAAGTTTTGCATAATGAAATGCACTTCACATTTAGTCTGGTTTTTGGATCCTGGATCCAAGTGTTCTGTGGAGATCACTTTCTAACCTGTGGCTTTAGAATTTGAAGCCTAAAAGGATACACCCTGAAGCTTAATGCACTAGATGTATTATTCTTACTTCCCCTGCAAGATAATAGAAACTGAGGAGGGAAAGTGACAGAACAATGCAGATTTCCCTCTTTATTTCAGGATAATCGTTAACTCTTGAAAACAGTGATTGCACAATGCAATGTTTTGAAATCTTCTGTTAAAGTCAATAGTTCTTCTAAATTTTAATGCCAGTGTGGGTGGCCATAGATTATTAACACAAGCGCTTATCAACTCTTGAATAAGTAGCAATATCTCCTATCTTTGGAGAAGTGTTAAGATCTGTTTGAAACCCAAATGAGGTGGAATGTGTTCAAACACTTTCGTTTTTAATACATTAACTTCTCTAACCACAGAGGCTGCAAATCCAGCACTTAGTTTAATGGAATAATTAGCTGCCAAAAGTAGGCCAAACTGTTGGCTGATTTAGATAACCCACTAGATAAGCTTCCAAAGAACTGAGGTGTGCCATTTGATAAAGCTGAAAATATTTTGTGCTCACTCACCCACAACTTATTGATGCATTACTGACATTCTGAGGATAGGAGCTGTTAATCCAAACTATTGTGTTATTCATGCACCCTTTGTTTGGGTCCTGCAGCTCTTGTTTTTCAATGTCATATTGAATAAATGTGTCCGTCATGATCCCAAAAACAATCAGCATGGCTGGCTGGGCTGTTCCATGAAGAATGGCACAGATAGCCCCTGAAAGCATCATCAGTATCTCAGATGAAGAAGCAAATCTGAACTGTAAGGAATAAGAGGCAGAGTTTGTTCATCAGTAGTTTTCACATCATTTGCTTTTATCGTACTAATCTATTATTTTTATAAACTATATAGCATTGCATCCTTTCAAGTGAAACAGGTCCCTGTTCCCAACTTCAGTAATAGAGGACCTTCTCAATTAAATTCCCCCAGCACAGATAATTGTAAAGATAATCCTCACTTAGTTACCACAAACTGGGGCCAGCAACTTGGTCATTAACTGGAATGGTGGTTGCTAAGTGAAATCATAACTGGGCTTACAATCTTCAGATTTCTTTTGCTTTATAGACCTGCAAAAGATTGTAAATGTGAAGACTGATTTTTTTTCATCACAGCTGTAACTGTGAAGAGTTGCTAAAGGAAGCAGATGCTAAATGAAGAGTAAAACCAGTAAAATATTGAGGGAAGAAAAGAGACTTGGTTTTGTGTAGTGAAATGACTGGACTTCACTTTTGATTCTGAAAACCACTTTCCAGGCTGCACTTCTGTCATTGTTTTTCTGTCTGGTTTCAGTCTGCAAATGTTGAGATTTGAGAAAGTGAAGGCCTTCCCTTCTCTTCTTCCACCCCCTTGATTTGATACCATCGTTCACAAACTGATGATACAGGAACTCAGGTTAGATACACAGTCTTAACAGATGGTGCAGAATGTATATACATGCAAACACAAACATACATGTATCTTTCTGTTCAGTTCAGTATCTGATTCTCAGAGATTGCCTGGACATTGGCATTGGCAAAGGTTTTCAAAAGTGTTATACGGTAGTCTCCTTCTTAGGTCTGAGAGAAAGTGACTGCCCAAGATAGCTTTTTGTCAAAGGTGGGCCCAGAACTCCAATTTCTAGCCTGATGCCTCAACCTCCTCCAAGATGGCCCTCATAAATATAATAACAGAGTGCTTTCTTGGAAAACTGAACTTTTGTTTCTATTTTGATTGGACTAGGTTCTGCAACAGATGAAATGGTGGTAGTAGATAACAAAGTTTGTGAGCCTTGCTCTCAAGAAACATATTATATGTGAAAAATAATGACAACCAGAATGCTATTACCAGCTGAAAGAATCCAATCCGAATCGCATCTTTTTTCTTGTCTGGTATCCTTTAAAGAAAGAAAAACATGGGGCATTATACATATGGTTTTTCTCCTTCTAGTAGATCTGCCAGGACCTTCTTCAAACATCCCAAGATGGAAGACAATGTTTCTCTAGTAGCAGTTTTGCCTCACAGATGACTCCCGTTCAAATCAATCCAACAGATAAAATATTTCTCAGAGATGGAGAAGCTCCTTCCTTTTTTGCTTCCTATCTTACAACCCACAGAAGTTGTAGAACATAGAATATAGAATAACACAATTGGAAGGGAACTCGAAGGTCATCTAGTCCAACCCCCGCTTGAGCAGGAGAGTCTATTCCAAATATTAGCCTCTACCTAGGATCGAACTCACAGCCTCCTGATTGTAAGGTTAAATAGGAGGTGCTGTTTTTCTCTTGCAGCCCTGATGCTGTTAAATGGCCTCCTCAGGAAGATCAGGCTAGTTCCCACTCTACTGATTTTAAGGAAATTTTAAAGCCTGAACTGCTTCAGAGAGCCGTTTCCTGAGCTGAGACTGACATTGTTATCTTTAGTTTTATATACTACCATGTCTTTGTTGTATTATTCTTGCACTGTGCACATTCTGAATTGTACCTTTTTCTTGTAATCTGCTAAAAGTCATTTGGATTGCAGCAGCATGGAAATATGCTTCATAAATAAAATGCCTAAGCATCGTTGTACGAATTTGGTTTTCATAGGTCTCATCAGTTAATTGATGGAACATTAAACCCGTTGCAGTAACATATAAAAGAGTTACACCCTTATTCTGATATCCGTAACTTTTTGGAAAGAAGTACTTTGTTGATGCATGTTAAAATCAAAGGGGAATTTTGCTAATGGCTGCATAAACGGGCAATTATGGGAGTTGAAGTATCTGGTAATTGGAAAATAACAGGTTGGGGAAATTGATTTAATCTGAAGAGGTTAGTTTGAATTTTCTGAAAAGGTCAAATTAGTAGCTCACAACTGACATCATCACCAATTCATATCTTTACATTCTTATTCAGCTTCCTTACTTTTTGAACTTTTTACATATTAGCTACTCCTTACTGCTGTCTCAAGTGATTCTGCGGTTGCCTTGCACTCAAGCAAATTTGAAGGAGCTGGAGAAACACTAGAACTTGAGGAAGTATTAGTATAACCTTGATTTCCAAATTGTGGAGAGTAATTGTCCCACGTTATATAAAAGTGGGCAGTATCTAACATGCTAAATCTGAACTCCACATATTTAAAAAAAAAACTGACTACAGACTAGAACTGGGTCAGAAGAAGGCAACAAAATGAAAATAGAGGACAAGTCCTAATAAGGATCTGGGGAAAGAAGGCTGAGGAGATAACATGATTCTGGAGTTCTTTGAGTTCTGGAGAAGTATCTTGTAGAAAAGGACTCTGGGTGATTTTCTGCAGAACCAGATTCTTAAATTACAAGAGGACAGATTTTGTACATTGGAATAAACTTCTTCATGATAACAGTACTTCAGAAACTGAACAATTATTCAGAGGAGGGTCAAGCTATCGCTCTGGCTTTTGTACATCAAACCAAGGGTTGGACTTGGTGACCTAATGAAGAGGTCTTCTGATTATGATTTCGTAAGCCTCGTCCTGAAGTAGATAAGGGAAATGATTGACGTACTGAATGGTTACATAAGGACACGCAGGCAACTGTTTCCAGAGAAAGAGAAAGATGTAGGAAATAATTAGTCCAAAGGCTATGATTCAAAGAATAAGAGTCTTTTTTAAAGAACTGGTTGATATTTTAAGCAGAAGCCAAGCCAGCTTGTTCAGGTATCAGAATAAGGACTACTTAATATTTTGCATTACCATATTAAAATGTTTTATTTTCTGGGCATTATTTTATCCTGCCTTCTTCTCCCGAAAAGCTTAATGGAATGAATGAAATCAGCAAAAGCACTTTTAGAAAAGAAGAAAATTTGTCTTACTTTGCATTGTTCTTTGAAGAGGCTTCATTTTTCCCACCAAAATTCCTGCAAAAAGCAATACATTTTTCTCCTTGGGAACAAGATTAACAGTCCAATTCTGTTCAGAGTCTGATAATCATCTTCCTCCAAATATAGTCTGCAGCTTTGTGTGTGTGTGTGTGTGTGTGTGTGTATGTGTGTGTTAGAGTTCAATAAGAATATTATCTTTAAAAGAAATATTATTTGAAAAGCCTTGAAATACAAAGAAAGTGGGTTTTATTCAGAATGAGCTTTAAATGTAATCAAAAGCCTGTTTCAGTATGTTTTTCTTTTCCTTCAAAAGAGAGTGGAATTCAGGACCACACTTAATATACTTGGCATGCTGATTATTGATGAAGGTTGAGCACAGCGGGAAAACTGGCAGGAGTGGGAATGAGGTGAGGGGTTGTCCAAATCTCTAATAGAATACTTTACTTCAGAGGTGGTGTTCAGCAGGTTCTGGCCAGTTCTGGAGAACCGGTAGCAGAAATTTTGAGTAGTTCAGAGAACCGGCAAATCCCACCTCTGACTGGAGATTTTACAGTATCCTTCCCCTGTCACGCCCACCAAGCCAGAACTGGTAGTAAAAAATTTTGAATCCCACCACTGCTTTACTTTGGTGAAGGTTTGGACAAAGCACTGCTTTGAACCTGAGCAACAGGGTTCCGGCTTCTAAACAGCAGAGCAAAACAGCTGCTTCGTTGGATTTGTGGGTTGAAGCAAGGACATACACCATGGGTGTCAAACTCAAGGCCCAGGGGCCAGATCCGGCCTGTACCGTACTTAGATCTGGCCCATGGGGCCGCCCTAGAAACAGCAAAGGACCGGCCTGCAGTGCCTCTGCACGACCCTCCTGAGGTGCAATTTGGCCACGACAGCCTCCTGCAGTCCTCTGCTGGTGAAAACGGAACCCAGGCAGGCTGCTCGCAGCTCCCCGAACTCCGTTTTCATCGGCAGAGGCCTGCAGGAGGCTGTCGCAGATGAAAACAGAACCTCGATGAGTGACTTTGAGCTGGCTATGCCCACCCTGGCCATCTCTATCCAAAGCCCCCCCAGGTCAAACACAACTCTGATGTGGCCCTCAATGAAAAGAAGATTGACACCCCTGGTATACACATATAGAAGGGTATTCCTAGCTAAGGTAATCCCTAGAATAGGGCCTTTGCATTGCACAAAATGCCTCAATGAAGTCCTCGCACAGGACCTTCACAAGGTATGGGACCCAACATACTCAGAGGATCCAAGAGTCTGTCAGAGAGCAAAACAGCTTAGAATATAAACGTTGAGAGGTGAGCATGCTCAGCGACCAAGGGATGTAGAGAGGGGATGAGGAGGGACGAGAGACAGAGAAAATGAGCTGGAATATCCTAAGAAATAGCCAGAGTAGATGACATTTAGAAGAATTAGAAGCTCCACATCCAACATATTTTGCAGATCTCACTTCTACACCCTTCTAGAGCTCTGACTTACTTTGCTTTCCTGATGCCATTATCTGTTGGGGAAGAAATACACGGAAGTTAATATGGAAGTAAAATCTTTAGCGAGATATTTTTCTTTCTCCTACCAATCACTATATGCATATACTTGCTTCTGGCTTTCTTCACTACATTAACCTTTTCATTGAGCAATGCAGTGCTTGACTTTTGTAAAACTTCAGAATAGACCAAATTGAAACATCTTCAGTTTTGGTTTTGTTTCACTAAACTGGTTCCTTAGGCACGAGGAAGAACGACAAAGAGGTTAGTTTTGACCTTTGTCTTTTTAAGAGGAGTAGGAGGAAAACTACTTCCTCAAGGAAAAAACAATCCAGTTACCTTTTGAAAAAAGCACTTTTGAGATAGGAGGAAAACTGGCTTTCTACATTTAACTAATTCAAAAATCCTTGTATGACGCCTCCTCAAATCCCTTATGCTTTCAGTTATCTTGCCTTTGCCTACTCAAACATCTAACTCTGCCCATTTTATAAAGCATTTTATTTTAGATTTCCACCCTGCTTTTTCTGGTGTGTTTTTTAAATAATCATGATGACTTAACAGTGAGTGAAAAAAAATACAAAATGAGAATATTAATACAGTTACAATTGGAGTTGAAATTAAACATTAAAATGCATTAACTATTATAAGTTTGGTAGATGTCTTTTTTTTTCTATCTTCCTGAATATTGGGCCAAACACAGCTTCCCAGGGAGTATGTCCTTCCACCTGATAATTTCTCAGGAGAAGGCCCCTTCTAGTGTAACAGGCAGGCAGAGTTTTGGCAGTAGGGAAGGGGAAAGGTCCTTAAAAAGACCTTTTCTACTGACCTAGCTAGGTAACCAGGCAGGTAAACGCCTGGACTCCAAGCCATTAAGAGCTTTAAAGATAATACTGATATCTTTAAGGCTAGATGTTCGATAAAGATAATGGCACTTTAAAAACAAAATCAGTCTATATACTGCATGTCCCTGTGAATATATCCTGCACTGCAGTCAAATGGCTACCGCAATTTACAAGTATACATTTATGTGAAAAACAGGGTGTGTGCAGGACTTTGGGTTTAAAGCAGGGGTGTCAAACTCGCAGCCGGCTGGGTGTATTTTCCCATTTTAGTGAAGGGGGGAAAAGTTGTGATAAATAATGTAACAACAGCGTGTCATCGCGAGTTCAACACCCCTGATTTAAAAGGAAAAATATGCATGGACTTGGAAGTATTCTTCTAGGAGAAGGTGCAACTTTAAAAAGCTGTTGAGAGGGTTTGTTTTTAAATTTTAGTTAAATCAGCAGACCAGTTTTGTTGTTTTCCGTTATGCAAGCATTATTCTATCCCCGTAAGCTGTTGAAGACTATTATTTATGCCAAAAAATTAGCAATCAGTCTTTTCATGACCATCTAATTTAACACACATTTGTTTAAATAAAGAAAAAGGGAGAAGATTTTATTTATGTTCCTGTAAATTAGGATCTAATCTATTGTTAATGTTACTTTACTATAACAAAGCAAAAGCAAAATAGTAGAGAAAACATTGTAATAAATTGTAAACATTGTAATAAACAATGACCATACAATAAATCATAATCAAGGAATGATATGAACAAATCAAGAAGTGTCCAAAGACTTACGTGACTCATTTGATTCAAAGGCCAAATTATCTTCTCCAATTCTCTTAATACTGCACAAAGTAACTGGTTCAGGCATGATCCGTTTCTTTCAATTCCTACAAAAATCCAAGAAATTGTGATTCTGTTGTGGGCTAACATCAGACTGTAGAATGAGCTTCAGTAACCTAGCAGGTCTCTTGTGCTTTGTGGCAGCCATTTATTTATTAAATAATAATAATAATAATCAAAACCTGTTAGTAGGTTGAATCTCAACAATAAACATCCACAGAATAACTAACTTTAAAAACAATATTTAATAACTGAAGTATGGATAAAATAATACAACTTATCAAAAGCAACAAAATAGGTGATATCTACAACCGAATGGAATTAAACAGCTCCATTTTAATAGTTTTCTGAAACTAACAAGGTAGGAGCTGATTAGATTTCAGGCTAGGGAGTTCAATAGCATCAGCATCATCACCAAAAAGCCACATCTGCAGCCTTCCATCCCATCATCAATCACCCAGAAATGGAGACTGCTAATAGATTTTCCCGGGAGCATCGATGAAATTGAGTGGAGGAGATGGTCCTGGAGATATCTCAGTGTCAAGCCACATAGGGTTTTAAAGGTCGAAACCAACACTTTGAATCGTCAAGGCACCTAACAGAGTGCAGAGGCCCAGGACACAAAGTGTACTGTGCTCATCTTGGTAATTTTCTGGCAACAATTAGGCCATCGCATTCTATACTAATTGAAGCTTCCAAGTGGTTTTGGTTTCAGGAGAGTAGTGATAAGGGCACAAGTCATTGTTGTGAGCTCCTCTTAATAAAGGATTATCCAATAATTCTTAGTATTCATTTGATTAAGGCACCCTTATATCCATTCAGCCCATCATTGCCCAATAAGTGCATCATGTGCAAAGTCATGGAATCAATCATTAACCAATCCATAACCCTCCACTTAGAGTCAACTAACTACTCTCCAAAAAACAATTTGGTTTCAGGAAAAAATTGTTCTGTAATCTATTCTACTTGACCAGGGTAAAGCAATAGATGCAATTTACATAGACTTCTGCAAAGCCTTTGATTCAGTGGTACAGGACAAACTACTGTAAAAACTAAACTCTTACGGCATTTCCGGATCCCTCCATAAGTGGAGTACTGTGTTCCTGTCAAGCAGGCAACAAATAGTAAAAATAGGGAGCGCTATATCAAGCCCTGCTCCAGTTAACAGTGGTGTCCCCCAAGGCAGAGTTCTAGGACCCACACTCTTTATACTCTATATAAACGACGTTTGCGATCACCTTATAAGCAACCGCATCCTATTCACTGATAACGTAAAACTATTCAACACAACCGACAATGCTACTGTCCTTCAAAGCAACCTTGATTATTGTTGAATTTTAGCATTTCTTTCTCTCCATATATCTTTTAAGTTTAATTCATCTGTCATTTTAAAAAAGGATTTAGGGAGAGTCTTCCTATTTTGTCATGTTGCTTTTGCTGTATAGTCCAGTTTATTGTCTACAATTCCATTGAAATCTCCCATCATAAGTATATTAACATAGTCCAGTCCAATTATTTTCATGTGTAAGTTTTTATAGAATTCTTCTTGTTTATCATTCGGGGCATAAATTGCAACCAAGAGCATTTTTGTATTATTATCCACTATTTCAACCATTAATACTCTTCCGTCTTCATCAGTATAAATCAGTTTTGCTGGAATGGTTTCTCTAATATACAAAACCACTCCTCTTTTCTTACAGTGAGTCAGAAAAGTAAATATTTTCCCTAATTTTGATCGTGCCAGTAATTGTTCATGTTGTTTTTTAATGTGAACTTCTTGTAGACAAATTATATCAAATTTTAGCTTCTCTAATTTGTAAAAAGTTTTTCTTCTTTTAGTAGCTGAATTCAGTCCATTTATATTCATGGAAATCAGTTTTTTTTCCTCCATGGTTATATTCAACAATATACTTTTTATTCCAATAGACATTTATCATGGTCCAGAATAGATATGATTTGGACATCAACGGAATTATTATCTAATATTCAAGAAATAAATATTGAAACAAGTACGTGGGCAGACCACAATCCAATGACAATTAAATGGAAAGGACAAAAAAGAAGATCTAGATGGACATTAAATAATACTATTTTAAAGGAAAAAAAATTTACACAATGGATGGAAAAAGAATTGGCCTTCTTCTTCAATGTAAACAAAAAAGAGGATACTTCAATACAGAATGTTTGGGATACAATGAAGGCATATGCAAGAGGATTAATAATATAATATATAAAGAAAAAGAACATTAGGAAGAGGCATATGATTAAAGCTCTAGAAGATGACCATAAAAAACTAGAAAAAGAATGACAGAAAACGCCACAGAAAAAAGATGTTAAACTCAAAATGGATATAATCAAACATAAAATGGATCAAGTAGAGAAAGAAGAAATGGCACAAAAAATTAGAAGTGCTAAACAGAACTATTTTGAAGATGCAAATAGGCCAGGTAGATGGCTAGCATATAAATTGAGAAAAGAGAAAGAATCAAGGAAAATATTACAGTTAATAGACGATCAAGGCCAAGTATGCTATGGTAATAAAGAGAAAAAGGCAATCATTCAAGATTTCTATGGACAACTATATAAACAGGAGGATCTTGATGAGGGAAAAATTAAACAATATTTACAAAATGCTAACCTACCTAAGATATCTGATGAAACTGGGAAAATGTTAGAAAGTGCTATAACAATGATGGAACTAACCGAAGCACTTAACAGACAGAACAATGGAAAAGCACCAGGACCAGATGGTCTCCCGGCAGAATTTTATAAAACATTACAAGAATCGTTGAGCACTTCACTGTTAGAAGTCATGAATGAAGTTATGATAAACAAGAAAATACCTAAAATATGGTCAGAAGCTTATATTACACTTATCCCAAAAGAAGGGGTTGACCCATTACAAATTAAGAACTATAGACCTATTTCCTTATTGAATGCAGATTATAAAATCTTTGCTTCAATCTTGGCAGAGAGGCTTAAAAAATACTTAAACAACTTTATTCACCCTGATCAGAATGGATTTTTACCAAAGAGACAAATTAAAGACAATATGAGGGTAATCCTGGACACATTGGAATATTATGAGGCGCACCCTGAAAAACAAATGGCTTTGATATTCTTAGATGCCCAAAAGGCATTTGATAATGTGAATTGGAGATTTATGTTATTATTATTGGAACAGATGGGCTTTGCTAGAAAATTTATCCAAGCAATAGAAGCCATATATTATAAGCAAACGGCAAAAGTAATGATAGATGGAGAATTTACAGACTCTATTAATATTAAAAAAGGTACAAGACAAGGATGCCCATTATCTCCTTTGTTATTTATATTGACTTTGGAAGTGCTAAATAGAAATATTAGAGAGGATACAAACATAAAAGGAATGAAAGTTAAAAAGGAGGAATTTAAACTGCAAGCCTTTGCAGATGACTTGGTTTTTATTTTGGAAGATCCTCTAGAGACAGCTTTAAAACTATTGGAAAAGATAGAGATGTATGGTGAGATGGCTGGCTTGAAAATAAATAAAGACAAAAGAAAGATTTTGACAAAGAACATGCTGTTAAGACAAAGAGAAGAGCTGGCAGACTTATTGAAAATTCAAGTTACGAACAAAGTTAAATATTTGGGGATATATTTGACGTCAAGATGTACTACACTGAAAGAGAATAACTATATTAAACTTAAGCAGCAGATAGCATCTGATCTGAAAAAATGGGAAAACTTACAATTGTCACTGATAGGTAGAATTTCAACAATTTCAACAATTAAGATGAATATTTTACCTAGAATGTTATATTTGTTTCAAACAATACCAATTAGGTTAGGTAAAGACTATTTTGAAGAATTAAATAAAATTGTGTTGAAGTATATATGGCAAGGTAAGAAAGCGAGAATAAAATTAAAACTTTTACAGGATGCTAGAACTAGAGGAGGATTTGGCCTTCCTAATTGGGAGTTGTATTATCAAGCTTCAAATTTAATGTGGGCTAAAGAATGGATAACGTTAAGAAAGACTAGATTGCTGGCATTAGAAGGACATGATTTACTATTGGGTTGGCATGCTTTTCTATGGTATAAGGGAACTAAATCACAGGGTTATTTTAGAAGGCATTATATACGGGAATCGTTATGGTTGAATTGGGAGAAAATTAAGAAACAATGTTATTTGAAAATTCCAGTTTGGTTATCAACTATTGAAGCTTTTTCTTATCCTATAATTTATAAAAAGGAACAAACAGTTAGATATGGGGAATTACTAGATGAAAAGGGTGAACTTAAAATGATGCAAAATTTAGAACAAGGTATAAAGATGAATTGGTTTTCATATGCGCAAATACATTCAAGGTATCTTAAAGATTCCAAAATGGAAGGATTTTATAACAAAATGACTGATTTAGATAGGATTTTGACAGGTACTGATGAAAAAGTGATTAAAAAATTATATAATTATTTGTTGGAAATTAAATTGGAGGATGAACAAGTTAAAGAAACGATGATTGCTTGGGGAAAGAATTTTGGATATGGGATTGACTTAGAGAAATGGCAAAAGTTGTGGTCTCAAAATTATAAAATGACAATGTCAACAGCATATAAAGAAAATTTGTATAAGATGTTTTACAGGTGGCATTTTCCTCCGACAAGAATAGCAAGAATGTTCAAGAACAAATCTGAAAAGTGCTGGAAATGTCATCAGATTCCTGGTTCATATTACCATATGTGGTGGACTTGTGAGGAGGCCAGGAAATACTGGACTAGAATTCGCATATGGTTGGAAAAAATGACAAAGAAACATATAGATTTGAAGCCAGAGATTTTTTTATTGGGAATCTTACCTGATACATATAATAAAAACTTTAAAAAAGTATTTGATTGTAAATGTATTAACAGCAGTGAGAATTGTATTTGCTAAAAATTGGAAGAGTGAGAAAATACCGTTAGAAGAAGAAATCATTAAGAAAATATTGGAATGTGCTGAAATGAGTAGATTGACATTTGAAATTAGAGAACAAGAAGATAAACAATTTTATGAAATTTGGGACCT